CCATGGGTACGTCTAGACTACAGGGTTTTGTCGACAGATACTGTCGACAAAACTTCTGTCGACATAGAGCATCTAGACACATTCAGTTCTGTCGACAAAGCAAGTTGCTTTGTCGACAAAACCCTGTAGTCTAGACGCAACCCTACAGGCAATAACACCTTCTGTCGACAGAACTCTGTCGACAGAAGGTGTTATGCCTCGTAAAATGAGGTTTACCAGCGTCGACAAAACTGCTGAGTTCTGTCGACATTATGTCGACAGTACTCAGCAGTAGTGTAGACGCAGGTATAGTTTTGTCGACAAAAGTCCACTTTTTTCGACAAAACTCAGTAGTCTAGACACACCCTATGTTGACTAGGCTGCTGTGTGGACCCGCATGCTGGGTCTGTGTGCTGCTGTAAGCTCCCTAGGGCCTAGTAGGCTCCTGGAACTATCTATTTGGCATTTTAGCTCCTTCTCCCTGAGCACAGATTCTGCCCAGCACTCCTTCTCGGAAGTGGGACCTTATGTGGCAGCTACCATAGGCTCCTTGACTCCTCAGTAGCTTAGGCATACTCTCCTGAGAGCCTTGCCCTCATGTATACTCTGGTTTATTGTTTACCTCCTCAGATATAAGTTACAGTTGAAGAAAACAATTTGCAGTGGGATTTCTTAACCTATGTCTCTTGACTGTTCGACAGTACACAGTAAACAGATCCATACAAAATAAGAAACACTTACATGCAATTCCTTTCCAGTTTCGTCATTGCTCCTGAACATTCTGTGAGATTTGGGCGCTGGGTTCTTAGTGCTTCAGTTTTACTCTTTCAGCACAGACTTATTTTTGTTCTGAGTGTTGAGAGAGAGCTGCTCTGAGCAGAGTTGGCTCTTTTATAGATTTCCAGTCCCCATAGCCATGTGATTCTTTGATCAGCCTCAAGCCCTCTCTCATGTGATCAGGATTCCCTGTCAGGTAGTGTGTTGCTTGGGACAGGGCTACACTAAAATGCTTCATTGTCACAGCTGCAGCACTTAAATGAAGATGTTCCATCTGTAGTTAATCAACCTCCCCCAGAAGAAGTAGCTGTGTCCTTCCGGAGAAGCTCTCCTGCTGACAGAGTACTGGCTGTATAACTACATCACTTGGGTTGTGGATTTTTCATGCATTCTCCCCTCTCCCTCCCCTGAAGTGACTTAGTTATGTGGGTACAGGTGTGTAGTATAGATCTGAACTTGGTCCCATCGCCCCCAGCCCTCCACCCTCATCTTGAGTCCAGTCTTCAATTGTTTTTTTCCAACACTGCAACCACTCCATTGTTCTGCCAGGGCAAGGTTCTTCAGTTGTTGTTGGTCGTTATCTATCTTGTTCTGAGGCATGCAGCCCCAAACACCTCGCTTTCCTTATCGTAAACTGTATGATGTAGGAGTACAACAAAATATAGCTGTAAGACATAAACATATAGTGATATTAACATTTAACTGGAATTCATACATTTTACATAGATGGGTCTCCAAGACTTACATCATGGAAGGACAGGTAAAGAAGAAACCTGTATCAGACTGCTTTCAGTAAAGGGATCAGCACTCTTGTTTGAAGAAGTGAAGGATTAAGATAAGTGGGAATTCTAGGGCTCATGAGATTGGAAGGAACATCTTGCCGGAATCGAAATGGACAAGACATCACAAATGTTTCCATATTAAAGATGATGATTAGTGGTTGTCATTCTTTCAGTGTAGCCCGAGTGACATCAGGTGATACCAGAGCCTTCATTTTCAGAAGCATGAGTCAGTTTGCAAATGTAGAGCCAAAGTGACTCTGGTTGTAACGCCGCTCAACTCAATGGTATTGCATGCACATGCTCTTAGAACAGTCTGAATTGAGTCATAGACACTGTCTGAATAGTGTTGTTTGTCCTACAAGCGGATGTGGGAGGTAGCTTGATTTTTTCCGCGCTCTCACGCCGTGCGTCCCTCTTCCCCCCCGGGTCTTTGGTGGCCTTTGTTCACACAGTACTGTTGGTGATCTGCTGCAGTGCCTACTGTTTCTTCATAAGGGGTTGACAATGCTCATGTCACCTACCTCTTTAGATTTTGTGGAAACACCTGTTTAAGTCACTAGTTTGTATTAAATGATCCATTATCACATAGTAGGTATGCTTGTTTAAATGGTTCTCTTGTATTGTGGAAGTTAGTATCCCCCCCCCCCCCCCCACTCCAATTTCTCTCAATAAGACCATGTTCTATAAGGACAAGCTCAGGCCTCACCTGGCCTTTCTTCCAGAAGTAGTGTTTCCTATACAGAACAACCTGTTGTTGTCATTGTTCTTCCTGTTATCTAAATCATTATGATGTGTTTACATTTGGTTCAGATTCTCTAATACATTGCAATTATTTTTTCTGAATTATACTCACAACTGCATATTCAAGATGTGTAACAATATCAAGGTTCAAAGCACCCTGCCTTGATCTGAGAAGCTTTTAAAGCTGATTTCAGGACAGCTAGACTTCTGATTGACCTGAGAACTGTTCTTGAAGGTCAAATGTCCATATCAAGAATAAGAAGCCAGTTGTTTGAGGAGGCCTGCACAATGGTTTTTGTTAAATTCTGTTTAACATGTCTTTGCACCAAACCAAATGTTTCTGGTAGACTATAATAGAAACCTCTCTGAGCAACGATTATAATTCATGGGGGGTTTACGTAATTATACATTCAATAGCTAAAAGCTAATTTAAACATTTTTCTTTTCCATAGAAGTGGCAGGCTTCTCTGTATTTATGAATAAGAATATGCTAACATAATTGGATAGTTGATAATGAATATTAGGTACGAGTTTCCTCTAGTGAGGGAAGAATTAGTAACCAAACACTTCTTAGGTTTTTGACTTAGTCTGTGCCAATGTTTTTTTCATTAACTTGGCATACAATCCATCATTGTAGTTCCCTCTTATACTCAGATGTCATACTGTTGGTAATCATGGCCGAGCACTCAAAGCTTCAGTTTCAGAATTTCACTTAAAACATATTTAAGAAGCAAGTGCCACAAGAATAACTAATAAAAGGACAGATCTTTTTAATCACTAACTTGCTACTCTTGAGTATGGCAAATTAAAAGGATACCAGCTTTAAAAGCAATCACATTTTTGTCTGAATATACCTGTTATTGCAAGTAACACCTCAGATTGCCATAATTGAAAGAGGTCAGAACATATTTTTCAGATTATTGGATTTGACAGCATGCAGTCAGTTTAACATATTCCCATTGTGGAGTCAATTTATTTGACTGTCTAACAGCAGCAGGGAAGAGAATATTTTAAACGAATAACAAAGCATTACTGTAAAACCAAAAACAGTTTCTTCAGAACTTGAATATATGTATAATATCTGAAAGTTGCTTTCAGCTACCTTTTAAAAATTAGTTGCTGATGTACTTTTAAGCCTACCATGAAACCCATTTCTTGTTCCAGTCCTGATAAAGGACTGTTAGAGCAGAAAGTCATAGGTGTAGCACAGATATATTATCTTGTTTTTATCATGGTTGTATTTATTTAGTAAATTTCCTTTGAATGCCTGCTATGGTTTTAAGTTATGTAAAAAGTTAACTATGTTTTAATATTTACATGAACTAATTTTAGCCTTCTCTTTCAGAATACACAGCTGCTTTGGGACTCACCTTTATTGGATTTAATACATGCTCTGCTAGCAACAACTTTCAGCTATGGAATCGGTAAATATTTGAATTACTTGCTTTTGTCTGAAGCACTTTCTTTTGTTTTGTGTTGTTTCTGTTCTGTGCCAAAAACAAACAGCAAAATTTTGGTATGATACTGATAATATTCTTCTATTTCACCTTTCTGGTGTCTTCATACTGAATATAAACATTTTAAACTTTTGTAATGGAATAGATGAGATACTGAATTAAATTCATCCTAGCAAATGTCTAGCTATGGCTATTAAAAAAACTTTTAAAAAATCTGTTCAGATGTAGCAACTTTTTCCTGATCCTTAAAGCAGTACTTTAAAATATATTCTAATGAGCTGTCTATCAGTTTTTGTCTAATTTCAGCAAAGTTCATAGTCAGTGTGCATGGCTGCTGAGTCTATAAGGTACTTGAATGTTTTAAAGATATTTGTTCCTTGTTCTGGTTATAAGTAAGGGTAATTGAAGTCAATAGAGATTAGATTTCTGTACTTCCTAGGTTTGCCTATACTTCCTAGGTTTGCAAACTGCTAATAAATGAAGGCTTTGGAAAATCACTGCTTTTCTGCAAAGTATTTGGGGCTAATATTTTCATAATATCCTTAGATCTAGGAATTCATAGATTTTTTTTTTTATACATATAAATTTAGGATTACTCAGACTGGAATGCAAAAAGAAATTTGCAGTAGATTAATTTGAGATTATGTGAGAATGGTGTATATTGCTTTATGGTGAAAAACAAAGTATACAGACAGTGTAACTGATCTTTCTCCAGGTGTGGCTGTTTCAGAGAGTATAATCCTAATTGAAAGCTGGGGTTCTCCACTTTTCCATGATAAAAAGCTGCAATTTTTAACTTCTCAGAGCTGTGAGGAATCAGACCAGGATTGAAATTGCCTGTTTACAGGTCTTTAAATATTATGGTGAAGGAATGGTAATGTGTCTGTTGGGTCTTAAAGCTTAGTTGCTTTTGATTAGCATTTGATTTATGCGGAGTTTAAATTGTTGTAATCTAGTTGTCATTGTGATACTAATGGCTTTTATTTCTAAAAGACTAATTTACTGTAGACATGTTCATCCACTGAATCAGGTGGTCTGATTCACAAGTTTGTGGAGTTTTTCCTTCTAAGTTTTGTAAAGAAATCATGGTGTACTTGGACTGTCCATGTTAATATTCCAGTGTATTCCTACTGAAACAAGCTATTTTGCTTTTCCTTGGTGGGTGGTATTAGTAAAAAAATTGTTCACAGTGAAACAGAACACAGGCCAGGCATCAGCAGCTCCCCCCTGCCACAGTTTATTATAGTAATTAAAAGTCTGATATAATAGGAGACCTCTTGCTATATGCACAGTAAATACTTCTCTAACTGGTATTCAGCTGAAGTTTTTGTGGTATTGCACCATATCAAAATCAATTGTACAATACTGTTGATTAACAAATCAGACCACTTCATTATTTGATATGCAAGGTAATTAGTTTTATTCCTTTACATTTTGAATAAGCAGTATTGAGTTTGAGTATTTGCATTTTGAACCTGGGTTGTTGTTTTTTAAACAGGACTTAATTTTTCCTCTTTGATTTCAATAACTTGAACCTAAAAGTAAATGCAAGTGACTGTAAGCTTGCGTGTATGTGTACACAATGTATGTTCTTGCCATATGTGGTACAACCACTGCTCTTTAAAAACTGATCAAAGATATTTCCCCCTCTACCCAAAACATGGAATTTTTCATTACATTTTGGGATAGTGAAAGTAAAGCTTTGCATTTGTTTTTGTATTCTTTGACAATATGAAGCCATACTGCTTAGAGACTAGCTATAGATAACTCAGATGGAGAGAGAATATTACTGGAGAAATGATAAAATCGCAATGTTTATGTATAGGAAAAATATGTTAAACTCAGCTCTGACTTCTAAGTCTGAAAGTATTTCATTATTTATCACATTTGAAATTGGACATTGTTTGTGGTAGTACCGCACTGTGCTCAGTGCTGACCAGATGTACATGAAAAAGTGGTTGCTGTCACAAGGAGTTCCCCATCAAAAGATGTTTTCCAGTGATAGAGTTGCTGTTTCTAGCTCTGCGAAATCATGACATCACATTTTAAAGTCAAGGACTGCCTGTCCTCTTCTTCTGGATTACTGGAGTTGGAAGAGATGTGTGTGTCAGAAGGAATTAAAAACCTGACAGAATATCTTGAAATAAATTAGTTGATGCCCAGAGATCTGGCAGGTTTTTAAAAAGCCTCTGCAGGGGTAGACTAGTGGGCTTGATACTTGTGGTGAAGTCAGGAGAACGTGGTCATTGCGGATTAGCCCATGAATGTCAGCAGCACACCTTTATGCATGTGTACATCATCTCCCAAATTAGCCCAACATCTGAATGAGATCAGTACCTGATGAACAGCTGGCTGAAGCATTATGAATTAGCAATATTATTTAGTCACCCTTTGTGGAGGATGTTGCTCCCTCCATTGTCAGTGATACATAGCCTGATCAATGTAGTGGTCTTGGGCGCATTAGTAATGGGATAATCAAGTATGACTAGCTTCAGTGCTGCCTTCCTCATATTGCAAGAACAGTGTATCCCACCTGAAAGTACTTGGTTTCTGCAGTCCAGCAGTGTGACCATTTGCACAAGGTACTGTAAGCAGGAATAAAAATGTAGGCATTTAAAAAAAAAAACAAAGAAAACACCAACAGCCTGGTTTGTAAGGTGACAGCAATATCCCTGCTAAAACAGCACAAGGGACTACAAGGGACACTACATAGGCTCCCAGCTGAATTAACCTCAGAGCCTTGAATCCCTATGATTCAATTAATCTGATTGCGACTAACTTTGCAGTAATGTTCTGCCAGAGTATGTCTCTTCTGTGGAAACAGCAGAGCTATTAACAGGGGGAGTGCTGGGAGTATGGAACTGGGCTTTCTTGCTAGCCAGCAGACAGTAATGGAACTTGCATCCGTGGGATACCATAATGACCCTAACCCAGCTTTTTCTGCCTTAGAAAAACAAGACTTGTTGTAGCTGTCTCATAATGAAAAGCCAAACCTGTCTATAGGAGTGGAAAAAGGGGAGGGAAGTAAAATAATGTAAGATTATAGCTTCATAGATACAAATGTATGTAATCTTGCAAGACCATGATAATGTGTGGGGTAGGTAATTTTTTGTTGCTAAGCTGTTTGAAGATATTTGTTTTTAACAAATTAGTTGCATTCTGGTTTTGTTGCAGAGAGGAGATTCTGCATTACACGGAGCCTAATGGGCCAGGATTCAGCAATTTGAATGTTTTCTGTAGCACAACTCTAGTGTAAGAGCTGACAGCTGGTATAATTCTCACTTTCCTAACATCTTCATTAGAGAAGCAGAGGAGTCAAGGCTTTCTCAGAGCAGCAGAGAGATTGAAATGGCTTTTGATGGTGGTTTTGGCACTAGCATTTCCCCGAGTCCATAATGAACATGTAGGTGTAAGATTAAAGGATGAATACGGTAGTGCTGCTAAACAGAATTGCTTCAGTCTCGCTTCACTCTGACCTGAGAAGGATACAATTGTAAAGATGACTCCCATAGTGAAAAGGCAATTTCAATACACGCTTTCACAATTAAATTGTCTCCTGGAAGAAATGGTATAATATAAGTGGCCTCGTTTAGACTAAATGGGCACCTGATTTTGGAATATATTTACCACTCGTTCTTTCTGTTTAAAATATTTTAACTTTATTACACCAACATTTACTGCTTTTTGTTGAAATAATATATTGGATTTTATGTAAATGTTGAAAAGGAAAGGGCCCTTGCCAAAGGCTCTTAAGGAGACTAAGCAGCAGTGGAATAAGAGGGAAGAGTTCTTTGATGGATCAATAACTGACTGAAAGATAGGAAACTAAGTAGAAATAAATGGTCAGTTCTCACAATGGAGAAAGGTGAACATTGGGTTCATCCAAAGATCTATACTGGGACCATTGATAGTCAACATATCCATTAATGATCTGGAAAGGGAGGTGAACAATGAAGTGGCAAAGTTTGCAGATGCCACAATTGCTTAAAAAGTCAAGTCCGAAGTAGTCTGGCAGGAGTTAGTGATGACCAAGCAACAAAATTGCAGATGAAATTAACATGAAGTTCAAAGGAATGTATATTGGAAAAGGATAATTCTAACTAGTTACACACAATGATGGGTTCTAAAATTCGCTGTTGCCACCCAAAAAAGAAATCTTGGAATCACTGTGTATAGTTTTCTGAAAGCTTCTGTTCTATGTATAGCAGTGGTCAGAAAGGCTTAACAGTATGTTAGGAAATATTAGAAAAGGGATAGAAAATATCATAATGCCACTAAATCCATTTTGTGCCCAAAACCTTTACTACTATGTCCAGTTTGGGTTGCTTATCTCATAGTAGAACTCAAAAATGTTCATAGATGAGCAACAAAGATGATCAAGGATATGGAGCAGCTTCCATAGAAAGAGAGACTACAGAGATTAGAGGCAGCAGGTTTATACAAACACAAAGTAGTAGTACTTTTTCACACAGCTAACTTGTGGAACTTGTCATGAGATGTTGTCATGGCCAAAAGTATAACTAAGTTCAGCAAAGAACTAAATAAGTTCTTGGAGGAAAAGTCCATTTATGGCTTTTAGCCAGTGTGGACAGGATTCAATATCTGGACCAGTAGGAATGTAAATCTTTGTCATATTATGGGAGTGGATATCAGAGGTTGGTCACTCAATAACTGCATAGCTCTGAACACACCTCCTGAAACTATGGTATGAGCTGTTATCAAGATGGATCATTGTCTGATGCAGTACAGCTGTTCTTATGGCATGTCATAGAACTCCTGGTTTTTCTGAATTGTATTAAAACCCTGGCTTATGTTTTTTTCTATCTTCAATTTGTATTAAGATTTTTGTTTCAGTATTAATACGGAAATAGGATAACATCACAAGTCTGGAGAACTGATATAGATACCAGTGTCAACAAAAATAAGCAGTTAATACACTGATGGGTCACTCGAATTTTAGAATTCGT